GCTTCTTATCCACCTTCTATCTAAGTTTGACTACAATCTCCACTTTCTCTTTCCTTAATACACTTCGTATAACTCTCCTCTTTTTAGCACTACCTAATCCCCTCAAATTCCAGCACACAATCTTCATTTCAGTTCTCTTTGTAAGCCCCTTCTACTTCCCGCTTCTAGTTGCCTTCTTTCTTCTCCCTCTTCTTGCTTTTAGCCTTTTCATAAGACACCCCACGCACTAACTTTTCCACTTCACTCAGTTTTCTCTTCCTTTTTTTATCTACACACTCTTCCTTCCTAAGGTAGACTTTGAATTTTGTCTACTCTTTCCCAGGGTTTTTTGGTCTCCTTCCTTTCCCCTTTGGCTGCTCCCTCGGGGCTCTTGCTCTATCAATATTAGTTCCCCCTCTGCTTCACCCTCTGCTAATTCCTGTTTTTCCATTCTATTTTCAGCAGAATTTTCCATCTCAATTAAGGCCTTTAATTTCCCCAAGATTAGATCCATAATCTCATTTTCTCCTATATCCACACTTTCGCTTTCTGCTGGTTTTCCTGGCACACTCGGGCCCAATTCCGCATCAGGTGTAGCTTCCATGATTGGACCTGAACAAACAAGATCAGCAGATTTAGCACAGGAACAAGAGGAACAACAAGCAAAGGAGAACAAGGGGAGGCAAAAATAGATGAAGAAACTCCCTGAAATGGAAGAGGGGATCCCTGCCCAAAGGCAAGCTGTGAAGGGTTGTGTTCCTCTTCAGCATCAGCCTGGACCACTAACTGGATTTGTTCCTCAGTTGAACCTCGATTTGGGTTCCTTCGGAGGCCCACATCCCCAACATTGACACCTTGTTCCTGAACTTGACCTGTTCCTACCTACCCAACTCCTTTTGGTGCTTCTGTAGAATCCCCATAATCCGCAGTAGGCTCTTCCTCACTCGTTTCTTTTAACTCCAGAGCTACAGTGTCTTCTTCTTCTCCAAATAACAGTTTGGTTCCCAAATAGTCAGAGTTTTCTTTCTTGCAAGCCCTTGTAAAACTGACACTTCCTATACTTGAAGGCTGGTCGTCTTCCTCTTTATCAATGTCTATGAGATCCTCCCAATCCGCCTTACCATCAGACTCCTCATGGATCTGTCTAAAGTACATCGGATTTGTTTTTTTCTGGCGTTGTTGACCTCTCCACTCCCCATAAGCTTCATTTGAAGTCTTGGTTTGAAGATTTCAGGAAAGAGCCGTCACTTGGAGAGCTAGTACCAAAAAAGTTATGTGAAAACTCAGAAAACTGGATTCAGAGAGAGTTTGGTTTGGAGGAAATCAAAGAATCTCTAAAAGGCATCATTGGGGGCAAAGCACCTGGCCCGGACGGATTTAACTTTACTTTCATCAAGGCTGGTTGGGAGTGGCTTGAGAAAGACTTCGAGAATATGCTCAAGGAGTTTCATAGAGAAAAAAATGTAGAGAAGATGGTAAATGCCACCTTCATTTCCTTAATCCCTAAGAAGGAAGGAGAAGTAGAACTGAAGGACTTTAGGCCTGTAAGCTTAATCAGCAGCCCTTATAAGTTATTGGCTAAGGTCCTATCCAAAAGACTGAGATATGTGTTGCACGAGGTGGTTGGGGAATCTCAAATGGCTTTTGTAGAAGGGAGACAAATACTGGATGGGGTCTTAGTGGCTAGTGAATGCATTGATTGCCATCTAAGGAGTGGTAGACCAGGTCTGATTTGTAAAATTGGTTTTGAGAAGGCCTATGACCATGTGGAGTGGGGATTCCTAGAAGAAATTCAAAACCTGGTAGGGTTTGGGGAAAAGTGGAGGGCTTGGATGTTTGCATGCATGTCTACTGTCTCTTTCTCAATTCTGCTGAATGGGATCTCATCAGAAACCTTTCAGGCTTCTAGGGGTTTGAGGCAAGGGGACCCTGTGTCTCCTTTGGCTGTTTGTTTTGGTGATGGAGATTTTGAACCTGCTATTAGAAATAAGTGGACAAGTGGGCTTAATTGAAGGTTTTAAGGTAGGTAGAGATGGACCTCACATCTCTCACTTGCAGTATGCAGATGATACTCTAATCTTCCTGGATGCAAAGGTAGAGCAAATTCTGAATTTGAGGGAAATCTTGGCAAGTTTTGAGCTGTTACCAGGGCTGAAGGTAAATCTATCTAAAAGCACAATAATTGCAGTTGGGGAAGTTGGGAGGGAAGTGCTGATGGAGTGGAGTGCAGAATTGGTGAGCTCCCTTTCACATATTTGGGAATGCCGATTGGTGGTACAGTGAAGTCAGTAAACTTATGGAAGCCACTCTTGGAAAGAATTCAAAGGAGGTTAGATGGGTGGAAAGCTAAGTATTTATCTCTGGGTGGGGGGGAGGGTGATACTAATTAGAAGTGTTCTATCAAGTCTTCCAACATACTACCTATCTTTGTTGAAAATTCCACCTAAGGTGGCAGAAAGGATTGAGAATTTCCAACGGGATTTTCTTTGGGAGGGAGTGAGAGGGGGAGGAGGGGGCAAAAAATTTCATTTGGTGAGCTGGGACAACGTGTGCAGGCCGAAGGAGAGGGGAGCGCTAGGGATAAGGAGAGTGGGAATTTTTAATAGGGCCTTGTTGGGGAAGTGGCTTTGGAGGTTCAGCTTAGGAAGGGAGGAGAGTTCATTGTGGAGGAGGGCTGTGGTGGGGAAATATGGAGTGGTAAGATACGGTTGGGAATCAAAGAAGGTGAGGGCTTCCTATGGGGTGAGTGTGTAGAAGGGGATCATGACCTTTAACAAAAAATTCAGAGACGTAACCAGCTTTGTAGGGTATGGATCTAAAATCAGGTCCTGGGAGGATGAGTAGTGTGGGGTGGGCAGGCTTTGTGACTTATGTCCAAGGCTGTATAGGTTATCTGAGGCTGAAAGTGCTATCAATGACTGTTATGAGAGAAGGGGAGATCAGTTGATTTGGAGTCCGAAATTTAGGAGGCCTTTGTTGAATAAAGAAGTTGAAGAGTGCATCTCTCTCTTAGAAAAACTGGAGGGTGTAAAACCTACAATTCAGTTCAGAGATAAGCTCTGGTGGAAAGAGTGCAAGAATGACAAGTTCATAGTAAAGTCATGTTATTTGGCTCTCAGAAGGTGTAACTCAGATTTAAGTCATATCAAGGGCATCTGGGGAAACCCAGTTCCTCCAAGAGTTGAGGCTCTGGCCTGGCTGATAGCAATGGACAACATTTTGACAGGTGATCACTTGAAATCCAGAGGTTTTATATGGCTACCAGATGCTGCCTTTGTGAGGAGGAGGAGGAGAACACTATTCATTTATTCATCTTATGCAAATTTTCAAGCTTTCTGTGGAAAGTGTTTACATCCATGTTCAGGGTCTTTGGCTTTCATCCAACTCCAACAGCAGAGATTTTCTCTACATGGCCCAGGCTGACTGGGAGTAAGAAGGTGAAAATGTTATGGAGTTGTATCCTATTTGCAATATGTTGGAACATCTGGAAGGAGAGAAATAGGACTTTCAAAGACAAGGCTTGTAACATGGAGAAGGTGGTTGCGGCTGTGGGCAGACAGTGGTAGAATGGGTGCTGATTCTTCCTGAATTTAGTCAACGAAAAAAGGAGGATTTTGGGAGTAGGTTAGGAGAGGTCCTGGGATATCAGATATGTAATGCATAGCCTGTTATCTAGTTTGAAAAATAGTTTTTGTACTCGGGTGATGACTTATCACCCTCATTTGTAACTTCTTTTCTTTTAATATTTTTTTTCTATTTACTTATTGAAAAAAAAATTGTGGAAGAGAGAGTGAGTAAGAATTGAGGAAAGAGTGATGTACATATCTTCTTTTGTATGGTTGACCTAAGTGGATGGCCATAACCTAACCCAATCCAATCCTTTTTATTTGACCCAATGGGTGTCTAATCCACATTTAACCCACACCTTAAATGGTTGGATTTGGATGGGTTAGCCGGTCAGGTGGGTTGGCTTAGAAATTGTCATCCCTTGTGGGATGTTTTAGGGTGTTGCCTTTTGGATTGTAGCTGCACATTTCTCATATATAATTACATACTGTTAATGATTTTAATGAGAGTAACTGGTATTTTTTCTTTGAGGGATGAACACTTTTCACTTCACTTTTGCATTTTAATTTTACAAATAGCACCTTGAGGACAGTATTTTTCCTGTTTACCTAAATGTTTTAGGACTTTTTTTTTTTAAATAAATCAAAGGAAAATTGTTAATTAAATTGATCACTTTCTATGTATTCTGCATTATGAATGATGCGACTTTAGTGGTATTGTTTTTGCTTTATACTATTGGTCTGACAGGTTATTTTAAGATGTTATTTGGGTTGTGATTAGAGGTGGTCAAACACCCTTAATATAAGTTGGGGTGATAGGAGGTAGTCCTATTCACCATGCTTAAAAGAAATTGGTCAGTTGAAAGTAGAGCCAAACAAAGTTGAAAGGTTCCCTTGTATTCTGGCAACCAAACCTACAATGGAATAAATTCATCTGGTTCATTTTGATAGTAAAAGACATTCAAGTTTTAGAGTTGGTTTGTGGTTTCAATCATATTATTGCTATAGTACAAAAAATAAAAAAAAATCTGTATCTCATATGGTGAAAAAATTATTCTTTTCCCCATGAATCTATGTATTTATCTTGTATTCAAAATTATATGCACATGTCACCATATATGCACATGCTCTTTTGCAGCTTGGAATAATATGTTCTTTTTTGCAAGGTTCAAAATATCGATATGCCTGATACGCCGGTATGGGCGAATCGGGCGAATCGATACTTATTTTCGTGGTTTTTTTTTTAAAATTTTTTTTCGTCAACTGGTTCAGGGGAGCTGGTTTAGGTCTTTGCCACACCCTGAACCAGTCAGACCACCAATACACCCACTGTAGGGGCATACCGGTGGGGTGCCGGAATGATATGTATTGGTCGATATGGGCCGATACGTGTCGATACTTTGAACCTTGCTTTTTTGTCATTTACCTTTCCTGTTCCTGCCTTGTGACTTGCAGCAACTCTTTTCTGAAGCTCTTCGAAGTGGACACATGGAAGGATTCTTCAACTTAATTTCTTCCTTCCAAACACAATCAGAACCTGCATACTGTGGATTGGCCAGTCTTTCCATGGTCTTAAATGCTCTTGCAATTGATCCTGGAAGAAAATGGAAAGGTAAGCCTTTAATATATTTAAGTGCATGGCTATGTATTGTAAGTTTAAAAAGACTTGAAGAATTGGAAATTGAAATATCATAATCTTTTGGTAGAATCCATTGGATTTCAGGTTTTGTACATGATTTCTCTTTATGTTATTTACTTAATCAATGATTTTTTTTTCTTATGACTACATAAGCTTCCTTATTATTTGCACTATTTTTTTTAACTCTTCATTTATTTCTTTTATACTTGACATTTCATGTTTCATATGTAGTTTTATTTTGGATGGGTTATATTAGTTGGCTTAGTACCAATTGATGTAGGACTGGAATGGCTTCAAGACTAAAGCCCTTCTTGGTTAAGAGGGGTTAGAAGGATTATGGGTCAAATTGTTGAGAACTGCATTTTTTTTCATGGAATGGTGGAAAAAAATTAAAAAAACCTAGTGTAGTATTTGAACTTTAATGATACCTTTTAGATACTAGTAAATGTGGACATGCATTACATGCCGCAGTTTTAGATAACATTAATAATTTCAGTTTCCTTATTAGAACCCATTGAAAAACATAAGTTATCAAAGTAGGGTGTGCTGGTGGATTTAAAATTTTATTTAATTTGCATTGTTAATAAAAGTACTTTTTTTGATAAGTAAAATGAAAATTTCATTAAAAGAAAAAGAGTGTAGTCTAGACAGGTGATAAGGTAGCACCTAAACCACCGAGACTAGGAAGAATATTAAATTCCAGATTACAATTTGAGTGATTTAAGAGGCGTGCCTAGGTGCACAGGTGAGGCGCATTTTGGGGTATGCACCTCGCCTAGGTCCTAGGCACACCCCTTTCAAAAGGCAATTAAAGTTATAAAATCATTATTTTTCATGTGAGAAATAAGAATTTCAAACCCTAACATAGACTTGTTCGGGCTTGCCTCGACTCATAGGATCAAGAATGCAATATGTTTTACATCACATTAGCTGCTTGAAGCAATGCAATTAAGGGAAAAAAGAGATTGTGGGTTTTACGTGCTTGAAAATGCTTTATATGTTTGCTTTTATTTTTAAATTTTCGTTTGAATACGCTTTACTTGCTATGTTTATGTATTTTAATTTTAGATAATTGTTTTTTAAAACATTTATTTTAAAATTTATGTTTATATTTTTTATTAACATTATGTTTAATATTTTTGAATTTTTTTACATTTTTAAATATTTTTGGCATTTTTTTTGAATTTTCTGACTTAATTTTTTATTTTTAGATTTTTTTTTTTGTAGTTTTGCGCCTTTTTTAAAAAGATGCGCACCTCGCTTTGCACCTTTCGCCTCGGGCGCAAATTGGCACTTGCACCTTTTTTGTGCCTTGCGCTTTTAAAACACTTCAACTTCCACCATCTCCTAGAGACAAACACTTCAAACTTCTCTTAGTGCTGAGAGAAGCACTGGCAGAAATAAGACCAACTGCAATGGATTTGCCCAGAGCCGCCCCCAACTTCTACCAGCTCTAGGGACCTTCACATTTCAAGATAGCCACAACGATTCTTCCTCCCCTCTTCCCTTAAACTTTTTTTTTTGACCCCCACATTTCAAGATACCCCCTCCCCTAACTACTAACTTAAACTTCCGAATCCCCCTTCATTCTTCTTCAATCCAATCGTCTTCCCTTCCCTCCCCTTCGGCCCATTTCTCACCTCCCTCCCCAACTATTTTCTTTTTATTTTTTTTCTTCTGTTTTTTTTTTTTTATAATTGTTCTATTGCTCGCCTGACCACACTCTCCCCTCCCAAAAGAATAAACCGAGAGATTTGCCCACAACCACCTATCTCTCCACTAACTTCTTGATTTCCACCCTCTTCTCCCCTAACCTTCCTTCTTGAATATTCCTCCTTTCCATACCCAATACCACATCATCCCCTTCCTTTAGTCCCACTCCTGAATCCTCCTGTTTTGTCAATTCAAGATTTTCCAGATGAATCTTGTTCCCGTCGTCAAATTGCAAAGATCGAAAGATCGCTTCTCCTTTTGGGGGTTCTCAACACAAGAAATTCTAGCTTTTGCTTCTCTTCGTTTATATATTCTTTTGTATTTGCTGGTTGGTCTTTTACCTACCAGATCATCTTTCAATCATGAGAAAACTTTTGTAACATGAACCATGCTAGACTAACTTGAAACTTTGAATTTTCATGGAATCTCCAAAACATCGCCTTTAATAGCCCCATCATTCTCTTTCCTTCTACGACCCAAACCAATCCCTAATCTTCCAATGACAACTTCGTGAGCTGAAGAATCAGAGCCACTCTCCTCCACTCCCAACTCCATAGCTGCCTAACCTTCCCTATTCGAACCAGAGTCTACACCTTATTCTTACATCAGAACTCCTGAGAAATTAGCAGATATCGTACCTGGCTCACCATCGAGAGAGTCAGAAGAGCGACATGTAATCCATTTAGCTTGCAGAAGATAATCAAGCATTGAGGGTGACTCACGAGCTACTTCTCTATCACACCCTGCCGACGAGCCAATAAAAGCATCCTTCGACAGACCAATGATTGCAATAATTGAACGGTCAGAGGTGCACTTTGAACTCTGAGTTGACCGCCGCAAATCCTTATCCTTTTTCCTTCTACGGCCAAACTTTGTTTTAACTTTACCTCGGGCCCACCCCTCTTAAATTTACTTAAGATCATCACCCTAAACCCCCCTATCTTAATGGCATCAGTGACCTAATGGCCTAATCAAACTCCACTCGCAATGGGCCCCACCGCTTAAAAGTTTCCCACCTAAACTCACCCAAGCCTCTTCATTTCCTTCGTGAATCTCCTCCTTTCTAAATTTGTCCGCCATGTGTTCCTCCCTATTTAAAAAGCTCTTCACTTTTCCTCCCAACTTTACTATTTTACCCCTTGCACTTTTCTTATTTTCTCTTATATACTTTGCTAACATTACCCCACTATTGACTATTCGACTTCGATTATCTTCCTCCTCCAGCCCATTGAACTTCTACACCAGCATCTCCCCTCCTTCCTCTGATAGGCATTTGTGCATCTGAGTGTAACAAGGCAAGAGCGTTGGGGTTCTCCTCCACCCAACAAGATGAAATGCAACCTTCAACCACCATCCTTAGATTGTACCACTCCCCTACAAAATTCAAAGCTAAGTAAGAAGGAACCAAATGCACATCTTCAACTTCAATCAATAATCTTTTTTTTTTTTTTTTTTTTTATCAATAACACATTTCATTAATTAACCATAGAAATAATTACAAAGGGGAAGATAAACTTTCTTATCTTCCAGCTGAGGCTTGAGCCCCCAAGAAAGGAAAATAAAAGAATTACACCTAAGCCCAAAGCATAGACTCCCTCTCCACCCCTTGTTTAGCTAACCCATCAGAAAAAGAGTTAGCTGATCTTTTCACCCAACTGATCTTGATTTCCATCTCTTGAACCAGCCACCTAAATTTCCTCCTCTCATTGCTGTAATTCCATAACTCACTGTTGTCTTTATTGAGCCACCCTACAACCACCTCCGAGTCCCCCTCAATTATAAGTTTTCTTATATTCATCTCCTTAGCTCTTTGGACTCCTTCCATAACTGCATAGATCTCAGCTCTGAGAAAGTCACCCACTCCAATTGGGCCTGAGAACAGGGATGAAACAATCCCATTCTCATCCCTAAACACACCTCTAATCCCCAAGTGTCCAAAATTCCCTCTACTACTCCCGTTAAAGTTTAGTTTTAAGAAACCAGCTGACGGAGGGGTCCAAGACACACTTATTACTGTTTTGGTCTGGGTGCAACTTGCAATCTCACCCCACTTCCTCAACATGTCATCCACTGTGTAATCTGTGAACAGCTCTGAGGATTTCAGCCATGGTACAACCCTTATATGGATCATTTCTTTCAGTTCTTCAGCACCTCTCTCTACTTCAGAGAAGATCCTGGAGTTTCTTTCTTCCCATAAAGGCCAGCATACCAATCAATAATCTTGTTGAAACCAGGTTCTTCAACCAATACGTTTGAGCATCAACTTTTTTAAACGAATTACAAGCGTTTCCCACTGCATTGAAGGTTTGTAGGTTGCAAGCATTTAGAGGAATCCCATAAGCATTGATCCACACGAGGCTCTTTGCACCCAATCTTTGATTGCCGCCACTAACGGATTCCATTTTCCCAGCCTAAGGTCCACCTGCTTGACTTTAGTAGATTTGCAAACCTGCATTCATCTTCTTCATTTGGACTTTCTCTTTCACGTTCCACCACGAGCTAACCCATCTTAGAACCTCCACTTTGTCAAGATCAGTGTTAGCAAAACATCCGACTAGGCACTTCTCAAGCCAACAAACCCTCTCTAGGACTCCGTCGCTTGACTCCACAAAGACTTCCTTAACATCTACCATTTTGTTCAATACTTCACACTTATCATATTTATTTTTGTTTAATATGATAAATATATAATATTAAAAATGTGCACAATCTTTTTGATAAAATTTTGTATTTATTTTTTGACCTATTTGACTTGCAAGAAAGACGGATCTCATTTTTTGGGCAACTTTAATTTTTTTTTCCATTTTATGAATAATTATAGAAATAATTCTTGTTTATCACACTTATCTAAGTTTAGTATGATAAATTAATAATACTAGAAATATGCCAAAAGTTTCTATTAAATCTCTATTTGTATAATTTTTGTATTTCTAATTTCTATCTATTTTTTAATTTTTATTGATTATGAAATCATTTCTTGACCCGTTTTACTCAAATGATTGGACTGTTAGAGTGTAAGTTGGTAAGCTTGGGTTGGGTTTAAGCTCAACCTAGGCCCAACCCTATGCACTGGGCCTAAGGATTGAGACTAAAGTCAAGCTTGATCTGTCCAACCTGGGCCCAACCCACACTAAAATTTCATGCACTCGGGTTGGGCTCAAGCTCAAGTTGGTCAATCAGACCACACTTAAAAATGACACAAATGTATTTGTATATGTATGCATGTATGCATGTATGCATGTATGCGTGTAATTAAGTAA